CTTTGTAATTAGTAAAAGCATTATGAATAACCAGAGTCCTCTGTTTGAATCCATTTTAGGGTGTTTCTGTCCTTTGTTAATCTAGGATTACTGGGGATTTTCCTGTGTTTCATAAGTCTTCCATGCCATGTAGGAGACACGCTCCATAGAGCAGAGCCTTCGTGGAAGAGCCCAGGGATCATGTTCTTTCTCAGCACAGTCAGCGAGAGTCCAATGATCCACTGGCTGGCTCCAACTGAGTGAGTGACAGGGGCCAGCCATCTGCCACTGACTGCATGCCAGCTACTAGGCAAGGAACCAGCATAGGAAGGGTGGAAGCTATTTTGGTACAAAGCCCTGTAATTTACATAGAACAAGATGCCAGAGGTCAATGCCCAGTAGCAGGTATAAAAACCCTCCCATTTCCTCTCCTTAGCTCTAAGGGAATTAGCAGTGAATGGACAATGACTGAACAGACAATGACTGACAAGATGGGCTTCCTACCTTGAGTCAAAGGAAGGATAAAAGTCACAGAATAACCTGTGCACTACATGGGAAATTAAGAGTGAGACAGGAGCAGTGGTGGCTTGGCGGAGGAGGAAATGGAGGAACCACCCATTGCTATGGCCACTTGGGGCAGCTGTGGTGGAGACCATCTGGTCTCCAGATGGGGCATCTGCCCCCTGAGAAAAAAGTGGAGGGAGAACACCAGGTTATATTTGGGATGGGGACTGTGGGATCAAGCTGTGTGCGAGGCATGGGATAGATTCTGAGTTTGCTGGGCTTATTTAAATGTCTAGGTTCAAAGATTTCTCACACTCATCTTCTCACTACCCTTTCCTTTTCCATCCTCAGAAAAGTGTGCTCATTCCCCAAATCTCCATTTCGTAAAAGTTTGTATGCTTTGTTTCCTTTTTTAAATCCATTTTCTAAGATACATGTGTTTGAAAACTGCATCTTTGTAGGTACCCGAGCAAATGAAAATGAGAAAAACAACATGGGGGAAGGGAGCAGGGAGAGACAGACATAGAGACAAAGAGGAAGGGAGGGAGAGGAGGGAAGGAGGGAAGGAAAGAGAGGGAAAGGGAAACAACTTAAAAAAACCCTTTCCCTTTACATTCCCCATGTGTCACTTGCATAGAGCATTGTTTGATTGTATCATATTTGTATACTGCTACATTCTGGTTTTGCCATTAGGCATCAATCTATTGGTCACTTGGGAAACAAGTTGCTTGAAAAGTTAAGTGATTTTTTTGGACCTAGAAGCCTCATAGAGAATGGAATCTCTTGATTTTAGAAATGGACAAAGAATAAAAATGAAGATATTATAAGGGTATTGCAAAGAAATGTTGAAAAATTGGACAATTCTAAGGTAATTCATAGCAAGATGGGGAGAATGATCAGTACAGGAATTATCTGATTTCCTGAATCATTCAAAAATTAAAAAAATACACTATCACAGGAGAGGGTATATAGAACTTGGTCTACACATATATTTACTGAGGAGGAGGAGGTGCTCAATAGAATAGAGTCCTTAATGAGGCCATCTTCAAGGTATACTTGGGCATACCCAGCCAGGAACCAGAAAGCTTATATGGTTGCTGAATAGCATTTGCAAACTAGTTTTCAGTGTACAGACTTCCTGCCATGATCTGGTCAGTCAGTCAATTAAGAAACATTTATTAATCATTTACCACGTGCCAAGCTCTGTGCTAAGAGCTGGAGATACAAAGAAAGGCAAAAGACAGTCCCTGCTCTCAAAGAGCTCAGTCTAATGTGGGGAGACAACATGCAAACAACTATGTACAAATATGATACGCACAGAATAGAATGGAGACAATCAATGAATGATTAAGGCAGAGACTTTGAAAGCACACTACTCAAGGAGATGTTAGCTCTGACTGGCTTCAAGAATTCTAGAACTAAATCTTGTCATCCCTAAGGGCTAAGCATTTCAGATGCACAATGCTGAATATTTTCAGGACAGAGAGACCAAACCAAAAATCTCAGAGGATTCAGCATCTAATATTCCTAGTACATGGACTCCATTCCACTGGGAATGTTGCCATAGACTTGATGTCATACTTTTAGATGCCTACCTACTGATTTGTGCTTTGGAGGTGCTGAGAATGGAGGGATTGTAGACACATAACACCAGTACATTCCTTAAATGAACTATGACTTTAGCCCAGAAGAGCTCTAACAGAAATCAACATAGGTATGCTACCTGAATTTGTTGCCAAGATGTTCAAGAAGGAGAGTTTTGCTGAGAGATCTTGGCTTTCATGGGACATACAAGTTAACCAATCTGTGGAAAGCTATTACGTATCTAATCATGGAAAGGCTGGACAACTTTCCATTTACAGAATAGTCCCAGAGACTGTTAAGAGATTTTTTTTATGATAACCACTTATTGCCTATAGGAGAGTTAGTTGGATTCCTTGATGAGCAGATACGGATTGCTGACCACTTGCTTTGGTAGACTCATTTAAAGAGACTGCTTACCAGTTACGTGAAGATTGTCAGAACCAAACCATGGCTCAGAAATATATTTCAAGTGAACAACCAGGTCTGATGGAAGAAAGGATTGAACCCAGATGTGACAATTTTCCTGGCTAGAACTTGAGCTGTTGAGATTCCTGAGGTACAGAGATATCCCACAGAGCATAGTAACACTGCCAACCTGCCCCTTCTCTCCTCCCTACTCAAGTTCAGATTTAGGAATTCAGGTTTGAAGACTATGGTAAGCCTGTGTCATCAAACAACTTAGTTATAGGAACAGACAGGCCAGCAGATCACAGTTAAGATAGATTTATGTGATCAATGACCAGACTAACTTATGATATTATAGGGGAAATCGTAGAAGTGGTTACAATGTACCCAGATGCCAGTGCTAATGTTTATCCATGTTAATACGTATCCTGTATATAATTGGAAATGTTCACTGATGCATGTGCCAATTAGTTCTTGTTTTGAGTACTTTTTTTCCTTGTTCTTGTTTACTTCTTTCTGTGTTAGTATGTGCCACTGATATAATTATCTGTTAGCTATGTAAGGTTTTTTTTGGCACACATGCTGTTTATATACATTTTATTATTCTGTAGCCCTCTTGATGTTGTTATGTTTTTGCTTTGTTGTTGTCCATATTTTCTTGTGTTCTACAGATATACCAATATTACTATGACATGTGGCTGTAATACTTCCTGTACATGATTTTGACTTGTAGTCACTGAACCAGCCTGTCACTGTAATATGTCTATTGTATATGTACAGATGATATACATTTGCTGTGAATGGCATCCTGTGATGATTACCTGAAATGTTGGGTTAATCATCCTTGTTCTGTAAAATGGTGATATTTATGCTGATGCCGTGATGTGTAATTAGAGATTTCAAGTGTAGTTTGACTGATTTTGCAAGAAGCTGAAAATTTATGACTCCGGGGAGGAACGGCAAGGGATTTTGTAGGCCAATGCCCACTGGCTTGTTTCCTTCCTTGACTGTCAGAGAGTTAGCCTTGACCTAGACTGACAAGGCTAGACTATGATTAATGAGGGAAAGGAAAGTCAGAATTCATAGACCAGTGTGTATATATGGTGGGGGCAAGTTGCACTGGGGACTGAGAATGAGGTTGGGTATGACTTGGGTGACAGAGGAGCCACCAACATTGATGGCTACTACAATAAGGACTAGCATTATGTCAGGAAACTGGGAGGAGAGAGAGAGAGAGCGAGAGAGAGAGAGGAGAGAAAGGGAAGAGGGATAAAGAGAAGACAGGGGAGGAGGAGGGAGAGAACTCAAAGTGGCTAGTTGTGGGACAGGAACTGTGTGATTGGGCCATGTAATCAAAGTAAGTGATTTCTTACACTCCTCTCACTTCTCCCTCTGCCCCTTATTTTCCCAGGAAGAGTGTGACTAACCTCCACAAATCTGTTTCATAATCATGGGTTTGCTTTCTGTTTTCCGTTTGCTTTAAAACCAGTTTTCAAAGGCAAATATGATTAACCATTGCATTGCAGATCTATGTGTTTCTTTGCACAAACTCAGCTGAGAAAGACAATAGAGGAAGAACATGTACGTGTGTGATAAATGAATCTTTTAAAAAAACTACAGTATTCACCAGAGAGATTGTTCTTTGGTGGGGGGGGGGGGGCTGGAGCCGAACAAAAGAGAATTAGTAATTCATTTTTATGACTTCCCAGAGTTGGGAGAAAGGCAGCGTGGACCAGGATCTTCTTAGGCAATGAATCAGCTGTTCAGGTGGAGGGGAAGGAAAGGTTGTACACCATTTCTGGAATGCTCTGTCCCCTCATCTTCTCCTCTTAATTTCTCTGGCACTCTTCAAGACTCAACTGAAATGCCATTTTAAGGAGGCCTTTTCTGTGGTCTGTGGCCAATCCTCCACCTCGCCAAGAGCTCATGTCTATCCCTTTGTGATTATCTTCATACACTTTGTATTTTTATGTCCCTAGTTATTTAGAATTCTTTTTTTTTTAAGGCAATTGGGGTTAAGTGACTTGCCCAGGGTCACACAGCTAGAAGAATTGTCTTTCTTATTAGAATATATGCTCCTTGAGATCAGGCACTGGTGTTTTCTTTTTCTTGCTTGTTTTTGTCTGCTTTTGTCTTTGAATTATTAGAGCTGAGCACAGTGCCTGCCATATAAGCAAGCATTTAAATGCTTGTTGACTAATGGTTGATCTGAGAGTGGTATGAGAGGTGTCTTCTTGATAATTTTCCTCCTTTCCATTGTGTACTTATTTGAATGGAAAATCATTCCTGCAGAAGGTCAGAGTGGGAGGAGGATCTGGGAAGGAATAGTTGGAGGTGGGGGAGGCCTGAGGGGAAAGAAATAGCCCTTCTCACCAGCATAGCAACACAGCACTACCATTCTACTGCTACATAGGTATGCCATTGGACCCTTTCAAGCCAATGACAATCAACAAGTGGGTGGGCCAGTTGTTAAAACCCACCCCATTTACAGATGTGGACACAGGTGCGAGACTTTGGAAGTGACTTACCTGGGTTTCAAAGACAATCCAAAGCAGGTATCCTCACAGTTTTCTTTCCTCTAGACACCAAATTTCTGCCCCTCCTCAAGCTTCTGGATCTCAGACCCTGCCACAAAAGGACCAGAATTAAACTCTTATGCATGTATTTAACAAATATTCTTTGAGCATTCACAACACACAATAACCCACATTCCAAGGGATCATGGTCAGCCTTCCTCCCCTTCTGACCAGAAGACCTCAATAATCTCCCCGGGACTGCAGCCAGGGAGGCTGCAGCTTCCATCTGTTTCCCCTTCACATCTTTGTCCTTCCCTCTCTTCACTATTACCTTAGAGCTGCCCATCTCTTTCTATATATGCAAAGCTCTTCAAGTGCTACAGTCAGTTATTATTATTATTATCGTTACCGCTTGCCCTTCTGCTCACTTCCAAATCACCCCCACCCCACCTTCTCCGCCACGCTGGTTACTGAGCTGAAGGCTCCTTGAAATTCAGGGTCGTGAAGGTCCATGAGAGACTGTAACTTCCACCCTTCGTAGCGAACCCAAACAGGCAGGCAGGACCTTTGAGATTCCTGACCTGGAGGGATGAATGTAGCTTTCGAAGCTCTCTGAGATCCTCCCTGAGATCTTGGGGGGAATCCACAGGTGCCCCAGGAGCTGAATGCGGAGACCCCTGCTCAGGCAGCACGGTCCTACGCTTCCATCTATGCGTCGGGCAGGGCACCGCCGAGTCTGCCAGGATCTAGGTCCTGCTCGGCGAGCAGGTATCCCAGCCTGTTATTGGAGCCCCTTTCCTCTGCCCGCAGTCCAGATCTCGGGGACCCTGGCATGCAGCTGCTGCTCACTGGCATCCTCCCAGCCCCGCCACTCGCAGCCCGGGCGGTTCTTCCCCATCCTTCATTGACCGCTAGACCCTGGGCTCTGTCCACCTCGCGTGAGCCTGGAGATTCTCTGGGACCGGGTCGGTGACGGGCTATACATGCGTGCGAGGCCGGAATGGGGGTGAGAGGGAAGGATGTAGAGGTGTGTGTGTGTGTGTGTGTGTGTGTGTGTGTGTGTCTGTGTGTGTCTGTGTGTGTATGTGCAATGTGAGACGGACGCATTCATAATCCCTCCCCAAGGCGCCCCAATGCCCCAAGACAGTCTCCCTCCCTTCCCGAATACCTTCGCAACTGCCTGGGCGAAGGGACAGAACCTGACTCACCAGAGCAGACCTGGGCCGGGGAGGGCCCCGGGAAAAGTTTCCCGGCTTGACCGTGTCTTCTTTGGCTGTTTGCACCGTCCCTGCGGCGGCCAAGAGCGGAGCGAGACTAGGCTGTGCAAACGCCAGCGCGCGGAGCCTGAGCTGGGCGCCGGGAGCAGGCTGGGTGCGCAGGAAACCTGAGAGGAGGGACGGGGACCCAGGAGGAGAGGAGGGGCCCTAGGCAGAGAGGGGCGGGGGCCTAAGCGGAGAGGGGCGGGGCCCTAGATAGAGGGGAGCGGGGCAGTGATGCCAGCAGCGGCCACCCAGGCTCTTCTAGGGTCAGGGTACCGGAGATGAGAGGGGTGGGGTTCCTTGCCCAGAATGTCGTCTTGGCAGGCTTTGCTGGTTAAAGTCAGGAAGCCTGAAAGTGGGGTATGGAGAGCAGTGAGGAGGAGGACAACGGGGAGCTGTGGACTATTTAGGAGGAGGGAGAGAACCAGGGAGAGAGGACACTGAGGAGGAAAAGGCATGAAGTAGAGAATGAGCGAAAGGAAAGAGGGGAACAGAAGAATAGGAAGAAGTGGCCTGGCCTCTAATCAGTCAGTCTGTTAGTGCTGACCTCTCTCCTCAGCCTGGCCCGGGGCTGCCTTTCTTGGCCTCTCTATCGTTGGGTGGGAAGTAGCATCTAACAGTTAGAGATGTTCAGAAATGACAAGGCCTGCCTCCTGAGGCTCGGCGCTCCCCTAGGGTGGTTCAGGCAAAGGCTAGGTAACCACCTGTCTGGGATGGTAGAGAAAATCTGTGCTTCACCTAAGTGGGTTGTGAGGGGGCTGTGCTATAGTGATATGAGCACTGGATTTGAAGGTGAAGGATCTAGGTTTAAAACCTGCCTCCTACATAATTGTGTCAAGTCCTTTAAGGAGGGGAGGATGGGAGAGATTGTCTCAGATTCACATCTCTAAATGAGAGGATTGGATTAGATGATCTTGAAGGTTCCTTTCAGCTCCAAATTCTATGATCCTGAAGGATTTCTGAGATTCTTTCCAACTCAATGATTCTTCCTTTCCCTGTGTTTTTTGGTTGACTGATTCCTTTTATCATTTAGGTTTTTATTTGAAAAAAATGTGGGGAAGAAGAAATATAGGGAGAAGGCCCCTCCCCCCTATAGAAAGACTCCAGTGAAATTCCTGCTCTCCCCTTTTAGTCTGGTTTCCATGGTCACCCTTAGTCAGAAATCTTTATGAACTTGTTCAGGACCCAAGTAACCTTAACTTCCAATTCATTATTGGTCTGTGAGATGAAGGCATCTGGGGTCTGGGTCAGAATGTTTGGTCTGTCACAAGCCAATTGCCATGCACTGAGCAGGCAAGTCAGCCTCACTGAAGCCGCATGGCACCCTTAGGGAGAGAAGAGAGACAGCATATGTAGCAAATCAAACCACCACCACCACCCTGACCACCACTTTGACCACCACCACCACCACCACCTTGACCACCACCTCCACCACCACCACCACCACCACCTTGACCACCACCTCCACCACCACCAC